AAGACCCCAATGCCAGTACTTGGTCACTGCTTTGGTAGTTTTCTGATACTGCTATCTTTACTGAGTTCTGTGCCTAGGGAAAAATTTAAATGGTGCCATTCATCAATAAATGTAGCACTACATCCCAAAATCTTATCTCTACTTGCACACCTGACATGTAGCAAAGTTGCTTTACTGTAGTTTAAAGGCCAGTGTGTAGATAACCTTAGGCAAAGAACTGCAAGTTAATCACACAGTTGGACAACTGACATCATCCATAAATTGTTCTGATATAATGGTACCAGCATGCTAATTTATGTGAAGTGATGTCCATTTGCTTATCATGGATTGGAAACTGTTTCACATAAAACAAAATTCTAATGCATCATATGGAGTTATAGCCTATGCTAATTGCTTTTGGCATATTTCCCCTTGTAACCATTTACCCAGCTCTTGGAGATGGTAAATGCCTCTTTAGGAATGTTTCAAAACAAGGTATTTTCCTTAAAAGTAAATACACTAGCTGCACTGAGAAGTAATGAAATTTATTTTAATGTAACCACACAACTAATCCATATTCAGATAGAATAAAGTATGTGTTGGTGCTTATTTAAATACAAATGGATGCTACAGATGAAGACTTATTACTAAAATCTAAATAATAAAATTTAGTAAAATAAATATTTAAGAACAAGTTTCCTACTACATTGATTAAGAACTTCCTAAATCTTGTATGAAAAAGAGAATTCAGGACTAATTAACTGATCAACTAATTCACCCATTTCATCACTATACTGAGGCTGTACAAATGTTAAGAAAAATCTGAGTATGTCCTTATGTAGACCGAGTTTAAGTTCAAGTTTGTTCTTTTTGCATCTGTCAAGGGATTCTTTGAATCACTAACTACTAGGGAATCTGCTGGGGACACCAGGAGCCATCAGACCTATTGGTCCTGTAGCAGTGGGAAGTAATAGGAATGCTGGAGGAAAACGCACGCACTCTTCAGCCAGTGTGGGAGCTGAAGCCAACAGTTACCTTCAGTTTGTACAGAAACAGTGCCCTAAGTCTGTTAAGTCCAACAGTGCCATAAGCAGTCTGTTAAGTGAGTGGAAACTCACACATAATATGACTATTATTATTTAATTGTATTTTAGGTCAATTTCTGTTAAATCAATTTCTGTTAAACTTAATTATATCCCTCTATGGCTTTAAACTGGGGCAGCTTCTATTAAGTTTACTTTCTCCTGGGATTTTCACAGTAAAGACAAATGATAAAGGTCTGGCTACTAAATGAGGGCAGCTATTAAATAAGGACGGCTTGTATTAAAGCTGGATGGTAAAGATGTGCCCACAGGTTGAGAAAACCCCTTAGTAAGGCAAGTATCTTGTATTTAATGAAAAACAAAACAGGGTGGAGGACAGAGAAGGAAACAAACTTTGGTCAATAACTCTTGTAAGATACTTTTTAAGAAACTTAACAGAATGTCCAAAGTTTCATGGCAACTTCCTCTGAAGCTTCTCTTAGAAACAAGTGAGTGGTAATTTGATATAGGTTCCTCCTTAGTGAAAGAGGAGAAAATTAGGCACAAGCCCTGGTTCTGGAGTCCAAGAGATATAAGGACTTGTAATATGATTTTAGAAAGTTGTTGACTACTAAAAATTCCGTCAGCGTTATTCTAGAAGAGATAAGACAGAGAACCCTACAATGTAGTTCAGTTTAGAATTACATCATAATTCTAGAAAGAATACAGTTTAAAAAAATTTTTTACATTATAAATATCTTTTGCTTTTTTTTTTTTGGGGGGGAGAAGTTTTTACCACTCCGGAGTTCTTAAAATCAGCCTATGTTTTACTTTTGCTCTACTATTATTTATGAAGAAACTTGTTTCTTTACTAGAACTGACACTGCACATATGCATATATTCTGATGAATATAGCTATAAGACAAACAAGAAAAGGTGTATTATTTCATGTATATCATGTTGTGTTGTTTTATGGTGTTGTAGAGAAGTGAAACACTCAAAGGCAGTCTAATCTGAGTGCACAGGTATATCAGTGGCTCTGTAAATTTCCACTATGCTAATGTTGAAATAATACCCAGCCATTTCATAAACTCACATTTCATAAACTCAATTTCTGATAATTACTCATGTTTTTTGCAATGCACAGTTGCAATAATTTTTCTATGCAAAAATGTTTACAAACAACAAGGTTATACTTGTCCACAGCTGATGTGATGGCTGATGAAAATATGCAGAGAATCTCTCTTCCACCTGGTGCAATATTTCACATAAGAAACACAGTGGGCCACCTTGGGGCCAAAGTAGCTGGCAGCAACTTAGCCCAATGACAGGAAAAATCTGCTTGGCTGAGGGCCTACACCTAATCTTCACTAAACATCTGTTAGATATCATAAGAAGAATGTTGAAGATAATATACATATTAGTTTTCAAACGTACCCCAGTAAAGGGATTGCTGCAGTGATTCTTGATTGCACTTGGGAACTGATGCAATTTTAAAACTGAAACAGGAAGATCCATTTGATCAAATTTGCTCAAAATTTATTTTTAAACTTTTTTTTGACCCAAAAGATGCATTTTTTTCACCCAAAAGACATCTACTTCTGTGAACTCTGGAAGACAGAACTCAAATTAGCAAAATACCAATACATCAGTTGCCAGGTAAGAGCTCACACAGAGCAACTTCGACACATTTTGATATACCTGTGTTGCTGTGGGATTTTGGTGCTGAAAAAATCTCTGGAGCAGTTAATTAGGGGTGAGATAAGAAAGGGTTTATTTGCCAAGGCAGTAGATGTTACAAGACGCGCGCCCCTGTGCCCGAGAGGTTACATTTTATAATACCATCCATCCAATCCCAGATGTGTCCACCCTGTGGCCTTTACTCTGGACCGCCCCGGGGTCCACCCCCTTAAAATGGGTCTGGGGTGTATTTCGGGACCACCTACTTCATCACCTTCATCATCATCAGAGCACAAAGGGTACATAGTTACCTAATTCTTGACTTCATTCTGTGGTTTAGGTCCAGATATGCTGTTCTGTCAACTGTGTAGGCCTTGCCTTGACAGAAGACTAAACATTTCTATTAGATTTGGGGCTATGAGTGATATAGGGAGGATAGAATGGGGTAAGAGGATTAAGGAATGTATAAACAAGGGTAGTGGAGAAAGGGAAAGGGACAAGGGACAAAGAAGGGAGGGTTTCTGCTTTTAAAACCTACTTATAAAACTTACAAGTCTTACAAATATTAGAAAAATAAAAAACCATTAGGGGCTTAAGGCATCACCTGAAGTCATACTGTTCATCTTACCTGTTAAAGGAAAAGAGCACAAAAATATTTCTTGGTTAAAATACCTTTATGGATTGCTTACCTTTATGGATTTTAATGACCTGAAATAAACATTAGGGAATTTGATCAATACGTCAAAATACTGAAAGACAAATATTTTTGTAGTCCTCAAAAGTTGGGTGTACCCAGCAGAGATCTATTGTGGGTGTGGGGAAATACAATACAAAGCTCCAATCATTCCATGTTCATAGTAGAGCAGGAGCTTGCTATCTTGCTTTGTTCACACTCACCAAAGGTCAATCTAGCTAACAAGTTATAAGCCCTGTTCCAGGCTTAGGCAGGGAATGGAGAAGTGATAGAATGATTATGAACAGAGAAGCAGGTTATGTCTCTGAAGTTCATGCAGTTATATTGATTTTAAACCAGAGAAGTTATGGCTTCATCTACTTTCCAGGATTTGGTCTAGTCATAGGACTCTAACTTTTCAAGGAAAGAACATATTTTTTCAAGGATTTTAGATCAAGAAGGTACAGTTGAAGAAATAACAGAATTTTTAAGTTTGTTTTTGCTGAGTTGTGATCTAACTTTATGCATAAAATACATTTAAATGAATAATAATAAGAGATCAGAGATAGGTGGTTATCAATATGCTTCACTATCGGTAACATTGTAATACATAAATAATAATGTTATGACACAGGACGTAGCATCAGCTATATTGTGGAAAAATAATATAAATTAATAAGCAGCATCAAAAGAAATTTGATAATTTTCTTTTTTTCATATATAACATGCATACGCTGTTTTATTTAAGTCTTTGCCACGTGATTTAGACAAGATTTCCAGAAATATTTGTTTACTAGACTCCCTTATATTTCAGAAAGCAAAGATTTATCTCACATGTTCTGAGCAGCAAACACTGGATAGATTTTCTCCAACAACTTTCATTTACAATGAGAAAGTAATGATCATGGTCACTCAGTATTTTGTCTGTTTGCTTCCACTGTCATATGGAGTAATGGTCATGTAACAGTACATCAAATGCACTAGAGGGAAATAAGCACCTCTATTTTAGAGAGGTTTCAACTTAAGTACAGGGAAAAACAATGGGTGGATAGGAGAAATAGAGTAAGAACATACAGCAACCACAGTTCTAGCCAGAAATCTAACGATTGGCGACTGGTTCTATTCTGCAACTATGAAAAGAATCTGCTTCACTATATAAACAGCAGCATCTTCCACAACTAACATTCATAGCATGGCTCATACATGTAACTTAAATCCAAATCTGCACTTGCATTCATCGTCAAGAATCAATATTCGAAACAAATTATAAAAAGAAATTTTTGTTTAGCTTGAGTATAGTGGGGAAAAAATAATCTAGTTCAACAAACCATATGAAGGGCATAATTATCTATGAGCTCTGAGCATAGGTGAAGAGCCAAATTCATTTGATACTAAAATGATACTAACCCAGAGTGCATCTAATTAATTCAAAGAAATTATTCTGAATTCATAACAGTGTAAATGAGAACAGAATGTGGTGCAACATGAATAGGCATAGGATAAAGAGAACGATGACTGATAGATATATATATTTGATAATGGAGGGGAACCTACACTCAAAGAAATAGTTTAATTAGTGCCATAAACGTTTTACAAATAAAAGAAGAGGAAATGAATGCTTTACCACATGGAGCTTTTGTTTTTACCTGACAAATGCGTTATTCACAGAAACAGCTTGCAAGTATTTCTTCAGGGCATAATAATTATGGATGTATTTCCGAACATAATAGCCTCGCCACCTTTTCTGGATCTAGAGGAAATAAATATTTGCTTAGTATATTTCAAATCAAAAGTATCTGTAGTTTATCCCAAATAATATGGTTTCCTTAAAAGTGTTATGAAGTAGAAGCACCAATAAGTTTCAATGAAGAAAATTAGGGTAGGATGTAACATATTGTAGTTAAATGGCAATACGAATTTACTATTAAATGCAAACATTAAAAAAATAGTATCAAGTTTTAAACCACTGTTTATATTGGGATGTGACAATGAAAAAAAGTGCCTGCTACTACCAGTGGCATTGCTCTATGTAAGAACAGTAAAAAAGTAGACAAATAGAAGTGGTGTCCCAGGTACAACAAGCATTCCCTACCAGTCACCACCTCACCAACATCTTACACTACACTTTCACCTTTGTGCTCTAGTTAAATTGTAGACTGAATAAAAGCCTTCCCAGTAATTCAGTGGATCAGGCTTTCTGCAAACTTAATTTACAAACCGCAGTTCTTTCATCTCTAGTGTAAAATGATTCATATCTATTTGTAGCACATAAATTACAATCTTCTCACAAAATACCATTCTCCTGCATAGCAGAGAAAGCCTAACCTGGAAAAGGAAACCTCTTTCTCTGTAGCTAGTTGTAAAGCTGCATTACAAATAGAAATTAAGTAGCATCCCCCACCAGAAAGAATTTATTTTTTGATGCATTTTGAAAAGCATCAATTGAAAAAAATCAGAAGGAGAAAAAAAATAAAAGGGGCGGGAGTAAACTTAGTCTAACTGACTTTCCCCAAGAACTGATTTTGACAAAAACATTAAAATCTTCTCTGATACTTAAAAATCCTAATCATGATGTTTCTGAAATTACTACCTGTTTACTGGCTATCTGTTTTGTTGGAAGGGAAAGTAAGCATTAAGGATGGACAATTAAGCATTGGGATGGACTGCCCAGTGAGGAGGTGGAGTCACCATCCCTGAAGGTGTTCAAGAAATGACTGGACGCGGCACTTAGTGGTGATCGGACAAAGGTTGGACTCAATGATCTTAAAAGCCTTTTCCAATCTAAATGATTCTGTAGTTCTGTGATTATGTAATTAGGTAAAAAGTTATCAGTACTTTCACAGTTATCCCTGTGACATGTACAGGAGGAAGACGTAACTATTCAGTCATGCTGAGGGTTGCTCTCGTTCCTCATTTTCTTTGCCATAAGAGGTCAGTGTATTCTAGATATACACATCTGAAGAATAGATTAATGATCTTTTAGATTAGTTTTATATTAGTCATAGATTAATGATGATAGATTAATGATCTTTTCCTTTGTTCCTTATGTCTAGTTCCTCTATCTTTACATTCTTCTGTCCTTGAACTTATTAAATTCCCTGTAAAATATTCTTTACTTCCTTTTTTGCAATTTGTCTCCTTTTTCCTCAATATTTTTCTAAACTAATCTCCAAATTTCTATTTTCTAGTCTGCAGTACCTTCATTACTACTGCAACATCCTTCTCTTTGAGCTTTACAGCTTTGAAATCTTAAAAGACATAACAGCTGAAAGGAAGAATCTACATTTAAAAAAAAAGAAGTTTGAGGTTTTACTGTCCAGAAGCAAATCCAAGTGCGAAGTTACTCCACTTAATGCATTGAAGAGAAGAATATTCTAATTTTCTAAGCGCTATCCTACCCCTGTGGGCCTCTAGCTACTGGACTTTTCAAGAATTTAAACTCTTCAGTGTATCTACAGGGAACATTCTTCTTTTTTTTCCCTTTACATCAACCCTTCTCTTTCCAGAACCAAGGGATGACTTGATAAGTGGAGCGAAATCCCTGTGTTTGTGGTATCGGGTTTTTTTTGGTACCCTTTATCATTCTAAATACTCATGTAAAAAAAGGAGGGATAGAGTGTCATGGGTTTTGTGTTTGATTCAGCAAGAAGGCAAGATTAAAAAAAAACTTGCCCACTGCCCCTAGTATCAATAACCTTCAAAAGGTTATTCAAAGTCAAAAGACTTCAGAGTCTGCATCATCAAGTCGTGGAACTGCTCTCCAGTAACAGGTAATATTCTCTCAACTCCTTCAAGTTCCACTGCAGTCCAATTCTGTACCACTGTGATATCTGACACAAGTTACTGACTGCAATTTCTCCATCTCCTAACTTTTCCTGAGCAGAAAACAGTAACACACTGGAGCTGCCTATAAGAAGAATAAGGTAGGGCTGAATATTTTCATACTTTGACACCATTTTTCTATCACAAACCTCAAAACACTACTATTCAAAGTAAAAACTAGCATTTTACCTCAATCAATGACACCTTCTAGTACAGTTATGATTATCTTTTCACATGGGATTTAAAAGAGAAAAAGTATCACAGAAAAGCTTTCCCTAAATCTTAGAGTCACCTGTCATGAAGAAAACTAAACTATGCGCTGGAGTTATTAGGAATAAGAGGATATCAACCTCCAGTGCTAATATTTTCTTCTATTCCCCCTTTGTGCATCAGCATGTATTTTCCTCTCTTTCCAAATAAGACCCAAAACTAATTTAAAAAGCTGGTATTTTCTTTTACCTATGTGTTGTATGTTTGGGATTTTTTTTAATAATAAGCGTTTGGACCTGTAGATATCGTTATAATATTAATAAATAACTGTTATGGGAACAAGAAAGGTTAAGCACTAGACATGCTGCTTTGCACTAAGTGATAGTAAATTTCATACTCTGCAACTCCACTTTCTCATAGACAAGCTTATTGGGTTAAAAAGGAATGGAGAAAGAGCAAAGAATGAGTATGCCTTCAGAGATCTGGGATTAAGCAAAATCCTTTGCATGTGAATAAGGATCTTAGCTTTGTTTTGCTGTTTGGCTTAAAAATTTCTCAACAAGAGCAACTTGGCTGCCATATAGCCATGTGCTCATTAATGCAGGATTATGGTCCCTTTGAAACTCTTTCTGACAGTCTTCACCTCACAGTTATAAATGCGGAACTGGATATTTCTGGGTTAAAGGATCAAAACTCAAACTGAAAGACAAAGGGCTCAAATTGTATAAAGCTATAATTACCTCCAATGGGCTCAGTGTACCAATTAAATGCTGCATTCTATCTTTATTTACACCACTTTCTGTTCTGAATGAACTCACTGATTTCAACTGGATGAAACACAAGTAAGAAAAACTGCAGTCTCAAATTATTTTATGCTAGATTTCTTTTTCCCTAGTACTGTATGTCAAAGATCTCAAAACCGAAGATTAGTCTTTTTAGAAAAGACCATTTTACGCACACCTTCTGATGATGCTCACGTTTTCAATGTGAAAGTTTTAAATGCTTCTTTTTATAAGGAAGTATAATGTGATGCAACTGAATTTCTTTCTAATTCCAAGGTGAAGGTTTAAGAAATTCTTGGAAAAGAAAGAGACAACTGTGTGTGCCCTTCAAAGTAATTAGCAAGTTTCAACAGTGATTGGTACAAAACAATTATTGTCATTGATCAGCACTGAACAGATAATTTTAAACAAAGTCATTGTGTGCTCAGCAGATTACAGCTTGTTAACGGGCAAGTTCTAAATGACCTCTTAAGCTAGTCAAATCAATGATGCATATTCCTCATTAAGTAACATCAAAATGTAAGTGGTCTTATAAATAATGTTTATTTTAAGCACTAAAACAAATGGCAAAACCTTGATATATCAAAAGCCATCTGCTCATGGAATTTTTTTTTTTTTTTTGCCACAGGATTACTTTTGTTGCTAAAAATTTATAGTAACCTTAAATCTTTTAAGGGAGAAAATCATATTTTGACCTACTACTGAAACTGATCAACACAAGATCTCTGATTCAATTTTAGAAGGTAAAACTGATAGGTCTGGTTACAAAAGACAGAGGTGTAGAATGACATACACAGTTATTGTTATATTTTTAGAACACTGAACTATATTAGTCATGAATCAAACTCCCAATGTATGAATATGAGGCACTGTTGGTTTAGGAAAAGTAAAGTCTGGGCATGCATCTACTGTGCAGAAGCTCAACAGGCCTGATTCTCAATTGTCCTGGGCCTTGGTTAGTTCTTCAGAAAACTGATGACAGAAAGAAACCAAAACCATGCAGTGTTTCAGATTGGTAGCATTTTAAATCTGCTCTGCAGATACTGCTACACACGACTATTTAGATAGAGGAGAAACCGATTCTGACATTTGCAACTAAATAAAGATCTGTTCTATTGTTTTCTACTGATTTAAATTTCTATTAAAGAAAAGGACATGACTGAAAAAATGGTACTTTGAAGATTTATATCACCTAATGATTCAACATTATATTTCCATTACAAATGAATGGGAACACATTCAATTTCTTTTAAAAATGAAAGACCAAATGCAAAACTCCATTTGATTAGAATACATAATTACCTCTGAAATTTAGTCTTCAAATGTCTTCTAAAAGTACACAGGCAACTTTTAAGAGCTGGCTTACATCTTATGTTTTCTCACTGATTTCAGCTGCAGGAGTAAATGGCATTTACCCACTGTGGAATGCTTTCCAACTAGCTAACTAAGGAATAAACTAAAACAATAGCAAGAAAGTACATTTGTGAGGAATTAGACTGCTGTTAAACACCTTCAGTTCTCTAACCTGCACCAAATGTAAGATTCAACTTTGTGCCTTTGAGAGAACCAGGACTAAGTAAAAAACCAGATGGGAATGCAGCTCTTGACTCTGAGTTATTCTGGACCCAGAAAGGTCACAAAATTAAAATCCATTCTGAGAATCTTCCTACTTTACAGGAGTTTCCTTGGGTTAATCTTCATCCTCACCATATTCCTACATTTGACAGAATTCAAAGGGTAAGATAGCTTGTCTAAAAAGATACAGGCCTCTCAAGTAAAACAGTTTTATATCACAAAATAAGTAAGTAAGATAAAAAGATTTCATCAAATTAATTATCTCATGTCCTTCCCATGTTTGTTTTACATATTTGTTTAGGTGCAGTTCCGAAGTTCAGTGAATAAAAATCCTAATTTCTAGTTAAACATATTTTGCAGTTTTCCCTGTAAAAAGCTTCATCAACTGTAGATTTACTAAAGTTCATGGACTGTTTATACTTTTCTTCATTTAGCAAAATTCACTCATAGTATCATCAACGAGATCAGTGCAGTCCCACCTCTGTGTTTAGGCAATGAAATTGTCCTGTGCTCTCTGAGTAACTCTTGAGATTCAATACATCAAATGTCATGTACCAACAAAAGAAAAAGCACAGCTACATCAGTTTGTCAGAATTGTAAATATATGTCTACATTTGTAAGAACATTGGCAAATAGAATGTTTGGGGGTTTTAGCAGTATCACATAAGGTAAGGTACAATGAACATTTAAATGGGGCAAGACACATGCAGGTGCCTTAAATTCAGCTACAGTTTTCAAATACAACCCAAACTACTGAGTGCAACTTTAATTTTTAACTATGTACTATTTCCCACTGTTGCCATCAGCATATCAATCAAGTGTATATTATTCTGGTTTGCTCATTTTATTAAAAGCAAATTCGGAGCACAATTGACTTTTCATTTGTTTAACAAGGGAAGAAATATTTACCCTGACAGCCATTTCATTGTAGAAATTCATCTTCATAATAAAATATGCTGTCTGTGAACCAAGGAAAAAAAAGATGGCATATATTTCAGTTACACAAAGACAGTCCTCCTATTTTTACATATAAAAGATAAGAATCTTTATACATAATACATAATAAGAGTTCTAGGCTTACAGAGAATAAAATCAAACTTTGTATTGAAGAGATAGGCTTCCTAATACATAATGCAGGCTTAACCAGAAAAATCTATGGTAGTCAAACTAGGAGCTAATGGAGATATATGATCATAAAATGCTCTCCGCTGAGTTTGATAATCAATGGTGCTCTACTGAGAGTAGAATAACAAAGCAGAAATATTCACAAGTGCTGGTGACACGTAGTATTGTATGATTTATTCACTGGGGTTCTTTTAGCCAAAACTCACAGAAACATAAAAGGAATTCATATTTCAAGACGTCTGGTTTAATGAAAAATTCAAAGAAATGCTGTCTTCAGTCGAAATCGTTCAAGGATACGGATGCAGTGATGGAGCAAAATTGTGCCTTCCAACCATCTGTACTAAATGTTATGTACTTAGCTGCCTCCCGAGTAATCGTTGGGAATTTTGTTTCATTTAATATTCATTTTAACATCATAAAATCATAAATACAATGATACCATGTTACAGTGAATCCCCTGATATAGAAAACATTTCCTGAAGTCCTGGTTTCCTTCCAATAAAGTAGAATTCCTCTCATAGTGAACGAATCCCCTATTATACTAAGCAATCACTTGGCAGCATAGGTTATTTTAATGGATACATCACTTTAAACTAAGCTTTCACATCTGTTCCGCCCTCTAATTACAAATGCAAAATGAGCATAATTCACAATTGTATCATAAAAAGTAAAATATAAGTACTTTGAATGCAAGAGTATGTCCTTTATTTAGCACAACATGCAGCTTTTATGTGTTTCTCATGTTTTAGACACAAATCAAAGGCAAAAGTGCTTTCCCCTGATATAGTGATTTTCTCCCCCATGGCAAACAGGAATCCACTATAAAAGGGTTTCACTGTAATTAGTGTTATTTGAATTGCCTAGTCTGATCCAAAGCAAATTGTCTGTGGAGAGCAGCAGGACTGGATTATTTATCAACAGTCTGGGCAATTAAGAAACAGTTGGCTGCAATATGTTATTTACAAATGAACACAATGATGCTACTTCATTTTAAATTCTCTTTCTTCATTACATTAAGCAAGGCATAATTCCTGCAGTTTAATTAAGGTGCATTTTAAATGCTCACTTTAATATCAGACCAATCTACTAATAATGGAAACAGTACAAAAAAATATTTCTTATGTGAAAGAAAATTGCAGGGTTGTTCAATTTCAAAAAAGTTTCACGTGTATGTGTAGATGTATACATACACACATGTGTATATATATATATATATATATTTGAGGGAAAATCTGCCCCAACGGTACAAATTAGAATAAACAGTGGACTGTCTCTCTCCCTTCATCTCCATAAATGTTTACTGAGTGCTACTAAGAGTAGATAGTTAATAATGGAATGAAATAATGTCTGCCAGATTTAAGTATATTCCTAAACTGTTTGATTAAATTGATAAAATTCTGTTTTGCAGCTCATCTTTTCTTTCTTTGCAAGGGAACGTAAGAGTTGCCACACCACCAAATAGATAAAGTACATTTTAATGGAAGTTCCTAAGCTTAAAAATGTTTATCAGATTTCTGTCCATCGATTATTAAACTAAATCTTACATCTTTTTGTTTATTCTTCTCAGAGTTGAAGGCTGTGAGCACCTAGGTCTGAATGCAGCCCATTTCACTGAAGAACCTAAATCGGAGACCTAATGTCATTAATGCTCTTGATATCATCAACACTCAAAGACAGAGGGATCATTGTCTCTGAGCTTGGCAAAGCACTGAAAAACTTTGTCTACTATTTACAGAGACAGTCAGCGGCAACTAGGATCCTAACTTGCACACCTCACTAAGGTGTGAAAATCCAGGCCTTTACCACCACTTAAGATGGTCACTCACAATAAAAAGGAAGTTTCACATTTCTGCTTTTACTCAACCATTGCTCTAAATCACAAGTCATCCAAATGCAGAATTGCTCACACAACTGTCTTACAACCTTATTCTTTCACCGAAAGCTGAAGGCTGCGTCCCTATCTAGGTTCTTTTGCAAATGGATTTGCCCTCTGTTTTCTAATCCTGATCAGAAAGTTTTGCCATTACAAGTGATGGAAAATGTGTTCATCCCTATTCACAAAAGAACAGTTATAATTTAGTGCTTCAACCCAAGTCTACACTTATGTGGTCTCCTACTAAACAAAAGATTCTTTTGTAAACTGGGGCCTGCTTGTCCAGAAGACCCTTTCCTTATGCTTAAGCAGAATTACCTGCATTTCAGCCTGTGTCCAATGGATTGCTTGTCATTGATTCATTGAGTGCCAATTGAAGGTGACACCGCCAGGTTAACTCTCTGGGGAAAATTATCTTGCCATCTTATTCACATGTACCACCTCTATTTCTGAATCATGAAGTCTTTGTATTTCTCTGATGTTACAGGTCTTCCCACCAGCTTACTTTAAAATATATGTTTCCAAAATATATCTGAAGCCTTTTGTTTATAAACTGTTGTACTATTTTCTCCTTTTGTATGTAAAAACATGTTTGGGGACCAACTACAAACGTGATCTGATTCTGACTGGTGTTTTCTTTTGCTTTAAACAGTTAATATGAAATGACAAATTCAAACAAGATCCAGAAATCTGACTGAGGTTAAGGCTGAGAGAAAGAAAGAAACACATGGTCTAAATTGGCGTGTTCTTGTGATGGTTTGGGTGTTTTTGTAGAGCAAATAGGCATTTGACTAATTCCTGTTAGACTGGTATTATTTAAAACTGGTTGCTGAGTTGAAGCTAAACCATTTAGAGTGATGTCAAACTATATCACATAAAATATTCACTTTTCTCAACTGCATCTCCTTTCAAAGTAAGCTAAAAATACAGCCATCATGCACGCCAACTTCATATAACAATTACATGTTACAATTCCCCTTCCTTAAACAAGTGCTTATTTGGCTTTGAGAAATAGTATAATAAAGAAACAGTGATGTACAGTTTGATTCATGTTCTGGTGCTTGCCTGGTTTTAAAATTCATACTTTTCTGCACATCACACAAAACTTCAGAATCCAACACAGTCAATGTAACTAAGTTATTAAGAAAATTGTAGGAGAGCAGTTCTTAATTTTAGCTTGAGATTAATTAGGAAACAAAGCCTTATACCAAAGAACCTATGTTTAGAATAGAAAGGCACATAATCTTAATCATATGAATAGCATCAATAGGTGAGGGCTTTTTTACTTAATGCATTTTAACAGTCAAAAGAAGAGGCAGTAGAGGAGTAGGAAATGAAATACTAGTAGTGATGCACATATGGACAACCAATCTGATGAGCCTCAGCCTTTGTTATTTTCCGCATCAGTACCACTCACATTTCACAATTTTGAATATAATCATTAAAATGATTTATTATCAAGCAATCATGGGTATTTTGTGCATATGCTTTGCCTTGTTTGCTGGCAGCAGATACCAATCCAATCATTATAAGCAGACAAATTTTAAAGTGACCAGTGTATTTAAGGAACTATCATGTCAAATGTATCACTGTGTTTCATAGTCAGGAAAATTACAGCTGTTATTAGCAAGAGCTCATTGCAAACATTAACTGATCCTTTTAACTTGAAAGTTATGCTAAGCTGCTGAGTAGATTTTGGGGTTTTTTAACATATTTCAAATTCAGCCATTGAGTAAAGACAGCATAACAACAAACATAAGGCATTAACTTGAACTTCATATGTAAGTCCACCCCAAATCACACAATATTGAATATAGCAGTCTAAAGGGAGTAAAGGATGCCTCTGTATCTGCTATTTGTATGGCTTTCAGGTTGGCTTTCAATCAGGCTGTCCTATTTAGTCTTCTCCAATCAAAGAGATGGCAAGTACAAAATGAAGCATTTGAAGGGAAAAAGTGGTTCTCTATGCTGATTGCTGTAAAATTTGGAAGGTTTCTGATGAGATTCGCTTTCTCTAGAGCCCTGGCTAGCACTGGATAAGTACTGAAATCCAGAAACTGGATGAATTCATGGTCTGATTTAGAATGTGTGTCCTAAGTGTGGGCTTGTAGAATTTTTTGTCCTACATTATTTCACAGACTTCAGATTTGGCAAGAGCTTGTCAGTTATGTCTATTTGAAGAGCTAAATATGAACTAGGCTTTATTGATTAAATACTTTTTTATTTTTCTTTTCAGAAATATATTTCAAGAATGGAGAGCTTAGGGGGTTTTCTGATGTCAGCTCTCTCAGCTTCATTATTACAGGAAATCTGTGCTAATTTGAAAGACTCTGTCTTAAAATGTAATTGTCAGAATGTTTTATAAGAAGACAGGGAAAATGAAAACAGAACAAAGAGGTGAGGTAAAAGACCTGTGATTTCATGAATGCACAGAACAATTGAGGTTGGCAGGGACCTCTGAAGCTCCAAACCACTACTCAAAACAGGGTCAATTAGAGAAAGTTGTGCAGGGCCTTATGTGATGGGGTTTTGAGTATCTCAAAGGGTGGAAACTCTACAAGAACAGCTTGCTCAATCTGGGCAATCCCTTCCAGTATCTGAGCACTCTCACAGTAAAAAAAGTTGTTTCTTATCTTCAAGTGGACTTTCTTGTGCTTCAGTTTGTGCCCACTGCCTCTCATCCTGTCCCTGGGCACCAATTCCAAATACCACTGAGGCTGGCTGTCTGGGAAGAGTTATCTTGCCATCTCACCTACAGGACACCACTCAGAACAGTGCAATAGACAATAAGCATGGTGGTTATGTGTTCACTTTGTATCTTATCTGGGCACCACTGTTCTCACAACCACTATACATAAAGGCAAGTCTCTGAAGTAACATAATTCTATTTAAAATAGGAAACTGATTACTGTCAACAAAGAAACTAGCATTTGAACATGAATAGCCGAAAGAAAGCTCCTTACAATCGGGCAGGGATTGAGAATTGGCCATCAGATCTTAGTCCTGATTAATCCCTCTTAAAAACCTAATGATCAGATGTCAAAAACCGACATGGTCCTTATTCTCATCTTGAAAAACACAGAAACACATGAATCACCTTGTTTCTGAAATGAAATTCATCTCTCTACAATGCTTAAACTCTGAAAAAATGTAGAACTCGAGGGAACATTATGAGATGACTTCATCTAAAACATTGCCTGAAGTGTATCTAAGCCATCCATAAGCATTTTTCTATTCTCCTCTTAACAACCTGCACTAGAGGGAGTTCCACAACATCTTTTGGCAGTATGCATCAATATTTCACATGAATTTGATTTCTTCTCTCCCTTTTCCCAGTGACTGCATAGATCCTTTCTCTTCATTAAAAAATTTAAGATACATTATCATGTCTCCATTCTACAGAAGCTCCTCTAGATTAAACAAACCTTCTTTAAGCTCAAGAAAAATATTCAGATGACGTTCCTTCTCTTTTTTTGAAACAGAACCCAATTCAACCATGCAGCTATCTGCTCTATATTCAAGAATTAGAGAGGACTGAAAAGTACAGCCTGAAAGATGGCTCATAATTTATCAGTTAAGCCAGTTAGTAAGTTGGAAGAGAGAAAATCTTTAAATAGATTACTGATAAACTTGGGGGAAAAATAGACAATCTTTCAGGTACATGACTCCTGCTACTTGCAAATAGAGTTCAGTAGAGGGTACGAACTTTGGTCTGTAATGTATGAGCTATTACAGCTCTTTTTTTTACTTTTCCTTGAGTTGTCTGTTTTGATTAAAACACAACAATTTAACAAAATTAATCTAGAATAAATGACTAACAAGTTTAAAACTATTGTAAAACATTAACATAAATTGATAAATCAGTGAAGTAAACCACATATTAAAACCTTAATTTTTTTATGTTAAAGGCAAATTAGTTTCTTCTTAATCTCCTAAACCTGTTAATAGAGGTTTTAGCTTGTGTGCTATCATACACTTTTGCTATCTTCAGGTCTGCCAAGGGAATTAGATTGACTGTGATCTGCTGTGTGCCTTAAGGCAAAACCTCAAATACTTCAAGGTTCATTAAGCAAGAAATTTAAACCACTAAAACATAAAACAGCAATGTGTGGACACATTGGCTTATTTTATTTTCAAAATTAGAAGTTCTGCCAGGAAACAAAAAAAAAAAAAGGCATCTTTTAAAGCTCCAATCCTGCAATTAGCATCATGTGGGCAGGCTTCTGCATGAGCAGATCTCATTGCTGGTTTGGGGACTAATATTCCAGAGCTGCAAACACTTAAACACTGACTTAACTTGACTGTTATGAGTAGGCTTTCTGAAATTAATGGTGCTTTTCATGATAGTAAAGTTAAGTATGTGCCTGTGTGAATAAAGGATCAAGATTCAGCTTTTTAATTTCACAGTGAGGGAATGAATTATTTCTATGTATTCTACAAGTAACCAAACAAAACTTTTAAAAGTAGTTTTCTACCTCCAGCATTTTTCTGAAGTGTTTTCTGCATCGATATCCTCTCCACCACTTCTGTATCAAAATCACCATTGCATTCAGATGTCTAAAATGAAATATATTAACAAAATAAGGATTCTTTTGAGACTTCCTAGTATAACTTTTTTCATAATATTAAAAATAACATATAGTGTATTATCCATACTTATTCCAAACAGATGACCTCTACAAACACACTTTATATGTATACATGTATGCATACATACATTTGCACACAAAAAAAGTCCAGTTGCCATACCCTCACTAGGCAATTTTTCTGTAACAACAACAATAAGAGAGAGCAGCACCACAGAAAAGGAGCTGGGGGCCCTGGTTGCCAGCAAGCTGAATATGAGTCAGCAGTGCCCTGGCAGCCAGGAGGGCCAACTCTGTCCTGGGGGGGCATCAGGCAAAGCATCGCCATCTGGTTGAGGGAGAGGATTGTCCCGCTCTGCTCTGCACCGGTGAGGCCTCATCTTGAATCTTGTGTGGAGCTTTGGGCACCACAATATAAGAAAGATATAAAGCTACTAGAGAGCATCCGAAGGAGGGTTATGGAGATGGTGAAGGGCCTTGAGGGGAAGCCGTTATGAGGATTGGCTGAGGTCACTTGATCTGTTCAGCCTGGAGAAGAGGAGACTGAGGGCAGACCTCATCCCAGTCCACGGCTTACTCCTGAGGGGAAAAGGAGAGACAGGCACTGATCTTTTCTCTGTTGTGACCAGTGACAGAAGCTGAGGGAGTGGCTTGAAGTTGTGTCAGGCCAAGTTTAGCTTGGATATTAGGAAAAAGTTTTTTGCCCAGAGGGTGGTTGAGCACTGGAACAGGGTCCCCAGGGAGGTGGTCACAGCACCGAGCCCGACAGAGTTCAAGAAGTGTTTGGACAGCGCTCTCAGGCACATGGTGTGACTCTAGAGGTGTCCTGCACAGGGCCAGGAGTTGGACTTGGATGACCCCTTCCAACTCAGGATATTCTATCATTCTATAAGAAAAGTCTGAATCAGCATATCTGAGGGACATCTGGTTGTTTCGTTTCTTTTCCAGTCATGATAAGATGTCCTATAAGAATACTGTGTATCTATTATGAAGATAGATTATTTCCATGCTACCTATTAGCATCATGCCTTTTTAACTGTACGCAGTTCTGAAAATCAAAAATTATTTTTTACAGCGCCACAGCAAATATTTCATTCTGTTTAAAAGCAGAATAACAGTTGTTGCTCTTTTTTTTCCCTAAATGCTCCTATTTTATTAAAATCAAGTAATACCATGAGCAATTTTGAGGAAAAGTTCAAGGCTGAAACATAGATTAGGATAGGCTAGATAGGCTTAATATACTACCTCAGATAGGCTCGGACCCTGCATCCTCGAAACCAGCTCTGGATTTTGACAGCAGCTCTGTATTTTATTTTTCTGTCTTCATCTATAGATCTGGTAATATAAAAGCAGTAATAATTATCAGCATGGCAATGTAGAACCAAAGAAAAATATTCTAAATATGTTTTATTATTGTAGTTTTGGATCCTTTTCACTAGGTTTTTCACTTTTAATTCTACATAATTCAATGGTAGTGCAGAAAAATGTAATTTACTTTAGTTGCATAGTACGAAGGTAACAAGGATAAAGAGTATTGCAACTCATAGGGAATGTAATTTTTGGGAGAGTGTATTTCTTATTCTCACACAATACTGAATACACATGTCAGCATGTCATGTGGAATTCTTCCATTGCAGGTGAAATATGTGGATAATGCTTTAACTAAAATTAGGACTGAATTATAAGAAAAATCAGGTAACTGTGCATAATATTGTATACTACGTGAATATTAAATAAATTCACTGCGATCAATATTATAATCTGAAACACATATTAAATGTAAGATCTAGTTTAAACACACTATCTTTTGATTGTTAAAAAATATTTTAGTCATGTATTACTTGAACATTGATAGCATCAATAATGGTGACAGATACACTCCTTGTCTGTAGGATTTTTTTAATGAATATGAGTTGACCTTAGCAGGATGGAAACAGAGGATTTAGACATTCTATCTAGTTTCCTAGGAAGGAATTTCAAGAGGAGAAATATGAAAAAGAAGAGGTGATCAAAGGCAAGTGAGATACAAATGTAAGTTTATACCGTTATGACCATGAAAGCATAGGAAAGAAACTAGGTGTGGGAATTTCCAAACTTTAGATGGCCTGGAACATCAGGAAACTTAGTGTGGCTTAAAAGGAAGTCAGAACTCGGAAACTTAGTAATTTAAATAGATACCAAAGGGACGACCATAGGAATCTTTTACATGGAAATACAGTAGTCAATGCAACAGCTTTTTGAGTCCTGACAGAACTTTTCAAAATGGGAACTCAAAGACACAGATTTTGGAGATGATGTAGATATGAAACTGGCAGCATATTGACATGTGCTACAGACAGGCAAAGAGGGAATAAAAGGAAACAACAGAATTACAAAATATGCTAAGGTTGTAGCATTGATTAATACAGATCCTAGAGGAAATAATGAAAAAGGGAGGATACAGAGAAGGATGAAGGATTTGGCTTTAAGTTACACAAGAAGAAAGGTTATCTAGAAAGAGATACTGGTGAGGTAGCAGAAGATGCAAGGTAGATATAGGGGAGAATTGATGACTTCAAGGAGATTTTCAAGAACTATTAGATGTCAAAGCTTTGTGTCAAATGACACAGTACAAGGAAAAGACGTGCACAAGTGGGAAAGAAACACAAGAAGCACAAGTAAAAGCACCTCATCAGAAAATAATTCCAAGAGATATCTCTTGCTTGCATTCTCTCTGTTACTGTCTACTAGGAGAATAGTGTTTGTGACAAAGATAAAAGTCACCTAAGGAAAACCATGAATCTAAAAGAGATTAAAGAAATATATTAACCTGGAAGAGGCTTTTCAGAGAATTTAGGAAGAAATAATTACCATTATGAGTTTCAATGCTGAGAGGTAAAACTCAGCTGTGAGATCAACTCTGGCTTTTATTTATTTTTTTATTTGTTTCAAAGCATCAGTAACTGTCAAGTCTTTGAACTGAAAATGATATTTTAATTTTCGTGGATTTTTTTTATTATCCCATTTTTATTAGGAACATATTTACCAAATACTTTTTAATTTGTTACACCTGACACAAAATAACAATTAGGTTACTATTAGTTAGTTTCCTTAATTACCTGATATCAGTGAGCTCAACTAACAAAGTTTTGTGTCAACATTAATTGCATCAGTAAACACCAACAAGACTATTTTTTATCTGATAAATTAGGATTATCCTCACCATATTTCTTGTGAAATGAAATGCAGATTTACTATCAGAGATCAAGAAACATTAGCTCCACTCATTTTATATCATCTGGTGCAGCATGTGCTCTCAAATCATGTTAAACAGGCACAAATTTTCATTGTCATCTGACAGTCATCATACTGACTTTCTCAGTATCTGAAAACTGTGGGAAACAGACTTTTTTAATCTAAGACCACAGAATAAAAAGTTTTCAAAGCTGACTAGAGAGCTTACTTATTCCCTTCGTGTGTAGATTCTGAGTTTTCATAGGAAGCAGACACCTTCACAATACTTTTACCTAGAGGTAAATGATTTTGATTAAAAGGATTTTGATTGAGCAATTTGGGCCTGGACAGGCAGCCACAATTACAGTCTGGAAACTAAGGAGATGTGGGACTGTCCATGTCAGAGGTAACCATTCCTACCCACTTGGCAATGACAACAGTCTGCTTCTGGAAGAGCAGAAGCCTTCTCCTCTCTTACTCCCTGTTAGATTTTTTTAGCTGGCATTCTGTCTTGCCTGGCCAAGGCAGTTTACAAGTCCGCGTAAAGTTTATTGAAGCAGACCAACAACAAGATAGATCCACAAACCCTTTTAACTGCCCTTGCCAGCAGAAGTGGTTTGAGGTGAAAGTTTCTCAGGCAGGTATTTGCCCTTTTGATCAGGTTGCATAGTTGTCACACTGTCTGAATTAAGCTTTTAGAGTCACAGGTATTTGTCAAAGACTTTACTGAAAGTAAAAAAAGCATATTCAAGGTCAGCACCTGACACAGATGCTACAGTAAACAAAAGTAGGTTCTTGAAAGAGTAGAGTGATAAAATTGTGTAACACTTTAGACAGTGCACTAATGGATTCTGAATAGTCTAATGCTTATGCTGACAGGGTATTTCTCAAAGTGCAGGTTTATGATATTTTTGCATTATGACATCATTGGGCAAGTCCTTCCCTAGAAAGGTGTTTTTCCTAAAAAGCTGGCTTAAGACACCTCATACCTCTCACATAAAGAGAGTTCTGCATAAAGCATGACAGCAATGTTATGAAGATCAGAAAAATATTATTAAGATTAGTTGCTGAGCTGGACTGTTTGAATCTTCTCATTTAAATACTCAGCTGCAAATCTGAATTTTCAGAAGCTGATGAATCATAGCCTATTCTTAAAAGGGAAACAATTCATGTTTGGAAAGCTCTGCCAAAAAACAAATCCCCAAACATCAAGGATGCTGACCTCCAATGGATTCCCAAGTCTGGCTCAGACTGCTCTTTCTAACCTGAAATATGTGAAATATAAGCATAGTTTCCTGTAACTGATGTTTGTTTAGTGAACTGCTGTGTGTACAGTCACAGGAGTATGAACAAAAGTTCAGGGGAAGAACAGGAAAACACAACACTTTACATGCAGGCAGGACTTGATGTCTGTGTAACTTTTTGGAATGTTCAGGAGCTTTGTTATTCATGCTAATGATGTTGTAATTAGATTCAAAAATAAATTATTCATTAATTAGTGAAGAAAAATTAAACTACAACTATGCTAAACACACTTTTGTGTGTGTGTGTGTGTGTGTGTATTTGCATTGCACATACAGCAACAGCAACAGTGCAGTTGAATAAAAGTGTCTACAGGACAACTCTATGCAATATTAAAGTTGGTCTTAAAACATTTTATTTCCAAAAATCTGATCTGGGAAAAGCTGGCCATCACCATGTTAGCAGCTAGAAAACTCAGCAGTGCAAACTGGCCCACTTGGTGAGGAGAAGGGTAACAGGTGATTTGACCTCTCAGCCTGTTGCTCACTATGTGGGATATGTTAGGTCTTTAAGTAGAATAAACATCTCCTTAACTTGGTAAAAAAAAGACAAAGCAGGTACTTAGAAACTCAAGTTGCACAATCTAACTTAGGGACTCCTGGTGTGCGACTGGGGAAAAGGGGTTGGCTCCTGGGGAGAGGGCTGTAATCGCGAGGCTCAACACCTTTTAGGAGTTTCCAGAGGCTCCTTTTCCCTCAAAATTAGCAAGGTGTTGCGGGGGTGGGCGGAGAAAGAGAGGTACATTAAGTATTTTTATTGTATAAATGGACCCCTTAAAGACGCTGTGCTGCTGCCATCAGGTCTCCTCACATCACACTGGCAGTATTTGGGACCAAGGAGGTAAGCTGGTGCTCTCAGGAGGGATTTTAAAGTGAAACAGAATCACAGAATGGTTAAGGTTGGAAAGGGACCGCAGTGGGTCATCTGGTCCAGCCTCTCTGCTGAAGCAAGCTCATCCTAGAGCACATGGCACAGGATTGCGACCAGAAGGTTCTTGAATATCTTCATTCAGGGAGACTCTGTAACTTCTCTGATCAATCTGTTCCAGCGTGCTGTCACTCCCATAGTAAAGAAGTTCTTCCTCATATTCAGGTGGAACTTCCTGTGCATTGGTTTCTGCTCGTTGCTTCTTGTCCTATTGCTTGGCACCTCCAAGAAGAGCCTGGATCCATTCTCGACAGTCTCCCTTCACATACTTATAGACATTGATGAGGTCCCCTCTCACTCGTCTCCTTGTGGCTGACCAGGCTCAGCTCCTTCAGCCTCTCCTCGTAAGAGATGTTCCAGTCCCTTGATCATCTTCGTAGCCTTCCGTTGGACCCTCTCCAGGAGCTCCATGTCTCTCTTGTACTGAGGAGCCCAGAACTGGACAATTTCCAGAGGGACTGCCGCCATCTCGTTGCCGGGGGTCGCCCGCCCGCCCCAGCCCAGCATGAGGAGGTGTGACCCGCCCCACCACCGGCACGGCCCGGGTACCTTTTCGCAAGGAAATACTCCTCTCGCAGCTCCGACAGCCTCTCCTGCAGCCGGGCCAGGGCGGCCATGCTCCCTCCCTCCTCCCGCCCTCCCGACGCCGCCGCCATGGCAACGGGACCGTCCCACTGCGCTGTGGCGCGGGGGTGGCGCTGCCCCGGCGGCCTCGCAGGCAGGGACCGGCACCGCTCCGGGGGCAGCGGGGGCTGCGTGGGGCTGCACCGGAGGCGAGACGGGGGTGCTGGAGGGGACGCGGAGCCCCTGGGTAGCGGTCGGGAGAGAGCCGGGAAGAGGCGAGGTGGTCGCACCCGGCTTCCTCCGGTGCCGCGGCCGCTTCCGGGCCCGCATCATGGGGGACTGAGGAGCAGCGCCGGCCGCCCGCGCCCGCCCGCCCGGCCCGAGCCCGCCCGGCCCCGGCCCCCGCCCGCCTCCCCTCGGCACAGTCTCTGCGAAGCGGCGCCAGCCTCCCCGGGGAGCGGCCGGGCGAGGCGCCGGGTTCATGTTCCGGGTGGCTGAACCTACCCCGACCCGAGCTCAGGCGGCGAGGAAGAGCTGGTAAGCCCGGGCCCGGGGGGGACACGTGTCCGCCGCCCCCTGCCCGCCCGCGGGGCCGCTGGAGGCGGGAGCGGGTCGGGAACAGCATCTCCGCGCTACAGGTGGGGCTTGGAAACGTGGGGGCGGGTGGTGCCCTGGCCGGGCCTCCCCGTGGCTGCGGCTGGCACAAGGCGGAGGGGATGGTGGTGATGGTGGTGATGGTGCCCGGCCAGGCCCCGGGGGATGCGCGGCCGGAGGTCTGAGAGGGGCCACTGGCGCGTCCCGGCGGCGCGACGCGTTTATGAGCGAGCAATAGGCGGAGGGAGGAATTTCAACGACTTTCTGAAAAGGGACAGCAGGCAAACGATGAATCAAAACTTTTGTCCCGAGCTCAGTTAGGTTTCCCTGCGTGTTTGGGTTTTTCTAACAGCCTAACAGCCTAAAGCCCTTGCAGTGTGTGCAGCTGAGCATCCAGGGACTTAGGTTTGCTGCTCTGGAGGTTTTTTATTGCAAACCAAGAATCAACAAGTGCTGCTGTAGCCATCGAGCAGGGAAAGCGTGGGTGGTTCTCCTGCAATAAAGTTCACAGATTTACTGTTTTATGTAATTCCATGTGCCAGCATAGTGTCCGCAAAGGCCATATTGTTTTTATTGTAGCACTGTGAATAGGGGAAGCCAAGTAACAGAATAGAAAAAGTCACTATTGTTAACAGGCCATGGAGGTGTAAAAACTGGTAGTGGAAAGACTTGATAGACACAGGATGTCCCAAAAAACCAGCTGGGAAGCCTTTAGTTTTCTTCCTGAAATGTTACATATCTTGTGATATGTTAAGTAACAACTGGTGTATATAGCTTGTCATTCATTTAACTTTTATTAATGTCAGCAAGGAGGATTGTGGTGGCATTTTTTTGTGTTTTTTTTCTTAATAATTTGAGACCTTGAGGCTTTTTTAGAGGCTATGTTACATATACAGATAGCTTCTGGTAGATTTCTCAGATCTAAAATAGTTTTTCTTTCATCTTTTTTTTTTGTTTGTTTCTTTTCTGGGGATGAGGACGAAGAGGAAGGGAAAGGCTTTACACTGTGTTTTCTTACATAGAAAACTCCATTTGTCCTCCACTTTTGCTGATGCCATCTGGTTTTTTTCCTGTGGGTATTGTCATGGCTTCTTTACAATTTTCTAAATGAGAAAACTTTCAAAGAGGGATTTTACTTGCTCTGATAAATGTATTGGGTAGAAGAAGCTTGTCAGTATTGCTAGACATCCAAATTTGCCTGATATAAATATAACTTCTGTTGGTGTAATTCAGAACGTTTCAGAGAATGAGGTATACTCCAGTGGCACAAGTATTTTTACTTGAGTAGAAATGCTGCATACAATAGAAACATTGCCTACGACATTCTGAACGTGTGTCTGTACTCTGAGAAATTTTTCATTAAATATACCTGTCATTCATCTTTAAATTTTACTGGTTTGTGTCCACATAAAGTAATAGTCTTCAGCAACATGAGGTGTGGGCATAGTCTTCTGCAATTGTCATCAGACAGTAGTGATTTTGCTTGTGCAGATACACGGCCCAGAGGAATTCAATATAGAGAAAAATATTGAAATGTTATCTATAGCAATCTTGGTTTAGCAGTTCTTAAGGAAGGTCTGTTGAAAATCTGACTATTCCTCAGAGCTGCTCTCCTATTCTTATATATAAGTTATTTCAGAAGTTGTCTATTAAAGGAAGTCCATTTGCGTGGGATGCAGGAAAATACTTTTTTCAGTGTCTAATACTTGATGTACAAAATTAAGAACTTGTGCTTTTCTAACAGCACTGAGACCCTAAAGAGCTGAGTAGATTCAGAAGAACCACAAAGTAAAACTGTTCACTTTGGATGGTAAAGCTGCTCCAAAGCTGAATGTTTTTCATTTAAATTGTGAACACATGTAGCAATTTAGGAATAGTTTGTGTTTCGGATACTTATTGGGCACTCTGATAATGACTATGGTGCTATAGTGTATTACCACCATGTGACAGTTCATGTAATTCTGCACCTTGACAATTAATTAGTGAACTCATACTTCTGAAAAGGGCAAGCATATCAGTAAATGACAGCAATGGGATTGTAAGAATTGCTCCCTCTTATGATAAATTGCTCCAAATCTCATTTCTGGCTGACCAATTCATTTGTGTTAGAGCCTTGTTAAATGTAGTTCATGTCAGCATCTTTCTGACTGTATGCCATTGCTCTGTACTAAACACTTTTTCACTGTTAAATATAAGTAGACTGATAGTATTTATTGTTGTGCCTTCTTAGATAAGCAGCAGTTGTAGAAAAGTCAGATATACTTATTGCAAGTTAGCCTGGCCCTAATTTTTAGGAGGATCAGCAGCATACTCAGTTATAAAATACCATCATTGCTCAAATACTTTTTATTGTATAGGATAGAATCACATAATCACAGAATGGGTCAGGTTGTAAGGGACTACAGTGGGTCATCCAGTCCAACCTCCCTACTTCTGTAGGGTCATCCTAGAGCACACAGCACAGGATTGCATCCAGACAGTTCTGGAATATCTCAATGAGGGAGACTCCACAACATCCCTGGGTAATCTGTTCCAGTGTGCTGTCACTCCCACAGTAAAGAAGTTCTTCCTCATATTCAGGTGGAACTTCCTGTGCATCAGTTTCTACCCCTTACCTCTTGTCCTGTTGCTTGGCACCACTGAGCAGAGCCTGGCTCCATCTTCTTGACACCCTTCCTTCAGATACTTATAGACATTGATGAGATTCCCTCTCAGCTGTCTCTTCTCTAGGCTGAACAGGCCCAGCTCCCTCAGCCTTTCCTCATAAGGTATGTTCCAGTCCCTTGATTATCTGTGTAACCCTCCTCTGGACCCTCTCCAGAATCTCTGTCTCTCTTGCCTGAGGAGCCCAGAACTGGACACAGCACTCAGATGTGACCTCACCAGGGCTGAGTAGAGGGGTGGGATCATTTCCCTCGACCTGCTGGCAATGCTCTTCCTAATGCACCCCAGGATACCATTGTCCTCCTTGTCCGCAAGGACACACTGCTGGCTCACGGACAGCTTGTTATCTGCCAGGACCCCAATATCCTACTCTGTAGAGCAGTTTTCCAGCAGGTCGGCCCCCAGCCTGTACTGGTGCACAAATGTAAGGAAACTCCAATTGTCTAAAGCAGTTTCTCAAATACAGAGTTGGTACCAAGAATTCATGTGTAGTGTGTGATTGGAGAATAAAATGTCGGTAGTGATTGCATGCAGTTACTGGGAGCTGTATATATGATATAGAAAAAGTTCATAGACACTTCCAGCAAGTGTATTAACTATGTCTTAATTGAGGAACAATGACTTTCATAAATCTTAATTTTTTCAAAATCCTCCTATGCTTTGTTATTTTCTGGAACTGATTTATATACACACATAATGGACTGCAACAAAGGAGCGTTGGCATACCTCGAAGGTGAAAAGTAGCCTGGGTTTGGTTTTCCCTTTTGAAATATAGATGTGCTCCAGTATATGATCCTGGTTTGTCTTGAGAGTCCTCAGCTTTTACAGCTCTTCACGTTATCTTATATAAAATTCAAAACCGTTTAATTTCTCTGTCTGTTCTGATACTGTCACATTTTTAAATTTTATAGTATGAAAATTACATTTGTATTAAGTTGCTTTGGTCTGCATGTCAGATTTACTCTGAATGTGTTGCCAGTGCATTGGCTCTTAGACTTTAGGGGAAGCCAGATCCTCAGAAGTGGGAGAGTGCAGAGTCTTGGTAACAAGCTGCTGTGCCCGGTAGCAATGGTTGATACAGGGTGGAAGGGGTGGAATACGTTTTGGTCGTAGTGTAGCTTTTCATACCTGATTGTCCAGCAGACAGTGCCTAAGGACATAAATAGATGTGGATGTTGAACCAGATGCTTTGTCCTCCTCATAAAGATGACTTTTTAATGATAGGTGAGTTTAAATAGTCTAGGTACAAGTTCAGTTTCTGATCATAGAATCATTAAATTTGGAAAAGACCTCTGAGATAAAGTCCCACTGTTAACTCAGCACTGCCGTGTTCGCCACTAAACCATGATACCAAGTGCCACATCCATACATTTTTTGGAAGACTTTCAGGTATGGCGGTTCCACCACTTCCCTGGGCACCCTATTCCAATGGCTGATCATCCTTTCAGTTAAGAAATTTTTCCTTAATATCTAATCTAAACCTCCCCTGGTGCAACTTGAGGCCATTTCCTCTTGTCCTGATATTTGTTACCTGAGAGAAGAGCCTTCTACGGAACATAGGTTTATCAGTTATTTCCTAATCTACCATAGTCTCTTGCTAGCTTTTTAACTCAGTTGTGTTGCTTCATTTTACTTCCCCCTTCATGTGTCCCAAGAACATGATAGTTCTCTTTTTTTGAATCCATAAATTCTTCAGGCAAGGCAGTGAGATTTATCGTTTTCTGCTACCTCCCAAATACTTGCACCTGTTCAATCCAAAGTTCTGTCACACTCATTAATAAAGCAGGGATCTCAAAACTAATGTTTCTAAGGCTTTGTGAAAATAGCTTCTGAGATGGAGAAATGGGATTCAAATTAGTA